CCTGCAGCGGCGAGTGGGTGCGGAGGTGTGTGTGTGTGTGTGTGTGGGGGGGGGGTGTTTGAGAATGAAGGGTGTCGAATCCAACGCAATGGGAAGGCGGATGCGCCTGGGGCGTGGAGCGGTGGTGCGGCGGGGATGCGCCCGTGAGGGGGGCGGCAGGGGCTGGCTGCCTGACATGGTGGCCGCGCTGGCCGCTCCTTGCGCGTTTGATTACGAGGGATCGCCCGCCAGGGCCCCGGCTGCAGAAGCTCGGGGCAGCGCACGACTGCTGCAGGGGGTGCATGCGACACGCGGGGGTCCCCGCCAGTGCCCCAGCGCCGAGCAGCAGGGTGCCCGGGCGCGGCAGGGCGGACGCCTCGACGCCTCCCTTAGCACCTGGCTGAGGAGGAAGAGCTTGAAGCGCGGCACAGGCGTCTCACCCCCCGGGCTCTCGCACGTCTACGAATCAGGTGCCCTCCGCAGGTGACTCATCAACCAGCAGCTCCTGTAGCTCCTGGTCAAACGGGTCGAGGGGTGGGCGGGGGGAGGAGGTGCGGGTAGGGGCTGCTGCGACGTCATGCATGGTGGGGCACGTTGAGTTGCGGGCTAGGGTGCTCATCGGAGTGTGGGGCTGATTGGTGCTCAGCATCAGCAGCAGCGGCGGGGCCTGAGATTCAGGGCGCTGAGTGCACATGCAGCCGTCTCAAGGGGGCGCAACTAAGGTCTTGAGAATCGCGCCTGCGGGGTCATCTGGCCGATGCCGCCGNCCCGCCGCCGCCCGCCGCCCGCCGCCGCCGCGCCGAGAGGGTGTCGCCTGAAAGGTGGGACGCCAGCACCCGGGCGGCGATTGTCATCAGTGCAGGCCCTCACACTGATGTCAGTTGCAAACGGGTACCTCAACCTTCTAAACATGAGCAAGTCGTTGCTGAGCACTTCCCAGCGCAACGGGCAGCCGAACATGGCGGCGCCCAGCGCAGCAGCACCANGCACCAGCACCAGCACCAGCACCAGCACCAGCACCTATGTTTTCAGCACCCATGTTTGCTCACCACGGCGCTGCATGAAGCGTGGCTGGCGCCAGACTGCCTGGACGGGTCTCGAGCAAGCCAAGAACACGCGGGCTCTTGCACACGACCCGGACAACAGCGAAGCCCTCCGTTTGTCTCTGCAGCGTGGTGGGAGACCGCGAGAAACGCTACCTAGGCGCTGCAGCTGCGACAAAATGTGATTAAGCAACAGCCACGCGACATCTTCTTCTCGCTCTCGCAGATGGGCCTCCAGCTGCGACCCAGATCAGCATCTGACACTGCACCGGTGCCGGCGGTGGGTGCAGTTACTGTGCAACTGGGGCATGCAGTGTGGCAGAGCCCAGATATAGGTGATGTCATTTCACCCGGCGATGGTTGACAACCGTGCCAAGGTATGGCAGGCATGCAATGACCAGTGTAAATCAGCGTGAGGCGCCTCAAGTGGTCACCTCCGCAGGCACCGCATGCACACGGCAAACAGCAGCAGGCTCAGAGCGACTCGGGTTTGTATCCCGGCCATCTTGCCACAAATACTTCTTGCTACAAACGTGCACATCACACTTGACTAGCGTAATAATGGGCTGCAGGCAGGCTGCAGGTGCTGCTGCTTGCGATTAGCAAGCAATCCCACGAGG